TAAAATTATTTTATTTTGTTGACCTTTCATTTAATTATTTACATTTAGTACAAAAAAATATAATATAAATATTTTTATTACTTTCACCAGATCTTTGAATATTTTACTACATAAATGCCTCTTTACATTTTTTAGTCCAACTAAATTATTTTCCTTTTAGTAACAAGTTATTAAGTGGTACAGTAAGGTCGACCTATGTTCGAGATAAAACTTGTAGGCATACCGTGTAATTGGCTAGACCCAAAAATAGTTTACGTTATCCTGGAAAAAATTAGATCTATTTATCTTTATTTTAACTTGCTAGAACGACTTGATCAAAGCTGCGTGTTGCTCCCGCCCGTGTGGCCAGGGACAGAGCGTGAAAACAAGCTTCAAAAATGCACCCCAGTCCATTCTTCTGCGGGCCCGCGGCGGGTGATTTTGCAGACGCGCCACATCTGCGTGAAAAAACGCTGCGTGTGGCATACCTCATTACATTTAATGCTGCTCATATTTCTCGCTTTTTTTCACGCTGCGTTCTTGCGTGAAAAAAACGCCCGTGTGGCCGTGGCCTAAGTGGTTGGCTACAACAAATTTACCTTGATGGTTGCACTGCAGTAATTTTGTATTAAGTCGATTCAGTTCAACCTTCGAAAACAGAAAAAGCACTTGATGATACAAAAAACTCACATAAAGTACCAGTATAGCTTGAAATTGTAATTGTCGAATTGAAATGATAGCTGTTGAACTTTTCTATAGTTGTGGCTTCAGTTGATCGAGAGAGGATAAGTTGTACGCTTCCAGCATAGAAATCAGATGATTTTACGAATCAGCTGTTTAATGACGTAACTCAATCAAGAAGCTAAGGAAGTACCCAAGTCATTACTGATTGACGTTGTGGTTGTTAGTCGTACTTTCACTTTCACCCTCAACAACTGTTTTGTGGCATCAAGCACTTTCATGTTCGGTTGACCTTCATAATAACTACTGTAAATAAGTTAACGTGTTAAAATGCAATTTCGTAAAGTTAAACATTGTATTGAGATGTAATTAAACTCATAACAAAACCAATTACAATTTAAATCGGTAAAAGATTAAACGAAGTTGTATTTCGGAGGTGGCGCGTAATCATATAAAATAAACACTTACTGTACACGATTTTTAACGTAACTGTCAATATAAAATATTAGGTTTGTTTCCTAAAATGGTCCCAAAAATGTGTTTATGTATTTTGTAAATGTCAACCATTTCAACAGAAAATGTGGGTAAGTGGAGTGTCCATCTATTTGTAGACACCAAAATGATTCTGCCATTTTACTCCCATACCGGTTTACATAAATAATTGTAGTAACATAACCTAATTTAATTTGAGCATGATCTTTACCCATTGCGACATTCCATGACACAAGTTGCATCATTGCTAAATTTAGTCACCCAATTAATCATAACCTCGCATATACGTCAAACTGGCGTTAGGCGCTACAAAGTGTGCCATTTATAATGCCAAGTCACCAATAACGGGGTATATAGATGGCATCGATAATTATCAACATATTGAACTGTTGAACAAAGGTTAGGTTCTATTGTGTTGATAACTAGAAGGCTGTGGAGAGGATATAACGGTGTTGTCTTATAAGGCAGTGGTTTTGCCGATAGAGGTCACTAGCGCACGGTTTCCAATCCGACAATTACTATTTATAATATTTGTTCATTATTGAAGTGATAAGGTAAAATGTTTGGTCATCGTTTAAGGGAAGTTCCCAAATAAAAATATCGGCACGTGGCATATCAAAAATATTTGCCAATGGACGAATTCTGTAAGCGTTCTGACCCAAAAGGGTGATGATGATGATTCTTTTCTCATTGCGAAGCAGCTAAATTGGGTACAGCAGCTAAATGAATATTTTGTAACAAAACTACTCTAATATCAATGTGGATGACGTATTCTCAAATACAGGTGTGGGTGACTTCTTTGATCATGTACAGATCGACTTAAATTAGTTCGCAAACCAGTGCTTGGAATTTTAAAACCCCCATTTTAAAGGTAAATTTCAATACCATATGACTAATCCGTCTTAGTCAAAGCATAGACAAAAAGCTACAATCTACAAGTTTCCTGTCGAAATATTAAGCGATATACAAATCAACATGACTAAGGTGCATGGTGCATGCATGGCAATTTGGATAAGATTAGAGGTAAGTCATGTCACGGAAAATCTTAAGCAAACTTTTAGCAACTCACGTTTTTTGACGAACTTGTAGTTTTTAAGATGTATAGGAAGGTGAGAATTTATGGTGTGGATTTGTGGTGAAGATAAGATACCTACCATAAACAACAGGGAAATTTATGATACAGCACTGATGTTTTTGCCATATTTTTCTGCATATCCAAACTATAGACGCATACAGATACAGTTGTTATACTTTAATTAGTAAATGTGATATCGAATTTTGAAACATAGTACTTTTTTGTTGTATTTTTCCACCTTTGTAAGTCGTAGCCTATTAGAAAATGGTTTCACACCCAAAAAACATCAAGTCCCAAGTCCCAACATTTATTGTAAGAGTATTTTGCTTGCTCGAAAACCGAGTGACAAGACCCTACTGTTTACAAAAACCCAAAATGAGCACACTAAAATTTGCAAGAACTCGCCGAGTACGTACAATTTATTACTGTTATCACCTCAGGCACCTTATCACTGCAGCCGTAGACGTAGATGTTCAAACATATGATTCAACAATTAACAGATGTTCAATTCAACCTGTCTTCACACCACCTACTTATGTCGCATTGAATGAGAATGAGCTTTACATCTTGTATGTTTTCAATCTGAGTTCTTGTTTTACTAGAAGATGAGTGCGTTCTCGATCCCTGTGCAATGATATCATTAGTTATAAAGGGGGTTGTTTAAAGTGTTTGTGCAATGGAAGAACTGCGCCAAATAGTTGATTGTGCTATTCGTCAAACAATATAGAAGTTTCAAGGTGGCCAGTGCTGATTTTAAGTTCGGTGTCTTTGAAAAGTTAAGAAGATGATGGACGAAGTAGAATTTAGTGAAACGTCGTTTTTGGAGTTTTTCGGGACTTTCTATGGATCTGTTCAATACACAGAACGTCAGGTACAGATTTGCGCACTTAACTTGTTTGAGTTGCGTTTAAACCAATCATAGGTTAGATTATATTTATATGACACCAACATGTAAAGTTGAGTGAATTATGTGCATTAATGCATGTAAATGCTTGGATGTACGCACTTAACTATTCAATGGAGTTTTACAAGTTCCTAAAATTATTTCTGCATCATAACCTATGCTACTGGCTAAACTGTATCCTGTATCATAGATAAAATATAGGCCTACTCCCTTTGTAGATTTCTCATCCTTGTGTATCAGCTGAAAGAGCTGAAGCCAATTTTATTGTTAGTTCTGTCCGGTGCACTGTAGAGGCTGTGTTTTGTTTACTGTTTACTGTTTAAATCATTAAATTAACCCTAAAATAATAGAAACAAAATTTCGTCGACACTAGCGATCAGTGTTACCAAACATGAACTAGACACGAAAAACGAGCTTCAACATTTTTGTGTTGCTAGTCTATGGTGGTATGTGGCATTTTTCCGAGTCATGTAGGTTGAATCCGCGATTCAAAGATGTAAAGAAAAAGAAAGTCGCACAACGTCGTAAATCTCAGCTGACCAGCCATCATCAATTAATTTACCACTCAATAGCCTACTCTACTGTAACTCATTTACTAAAATTTAGATTATTTAAATCTTGATTTGCTTTACATCAACAAACTTGTTCCCCTTGATAGCCTTGGTGAGTCACTGGGAATCAAGGTGAGTTTAAAAATTACAACAGGAAGTAGAATAACTGTCATTGTAAATTACAACTATCCAAGTGGCAGTGGCAGTCAACCATGTAAAAGAAAAAAGAACTACTGAGTATAGCTTGTGACACCTAAGCTGGCACTTGGTCTAGCGCGGGCAATGTAGGCGGGAGGAGGGTGGACGTAGGGAAAAGACCGGACTGCAAACATTTCCGCTGCCTCACGGGGATGACTCCCCTTGCATTGTACTAGAGCGCCGGGTCGCGAGGACAGTTGATGCAACCCGCATGACGGGACATAATGTTTTTGGAATAGGTTCTAGTAGCGATAGGCCAAGTGCCAGCTTGTCACGAGATGTCACGAGCTGTAACTGAGTTGTTTATATCGTTGGTGGCGGTGGCAGTGGACGATAGACGTTTGTTGTTGTTATTGTTGTTGGTTGCTGTCTCTTGGCATTGCCGTTTGATAAGGTTAATCTTAATATTGTGTAAGGGTTAAATCAATTAAAAAATAAGTTGCACCATCCATTAAAAAAACCTTCTTGTACAATTATCGTCATTATGGATCAGTGGAAGACAATTTTGAGGTAGGCCTACTAAGTAACTACAGTGCATTTTAGAGTTTGGCTAGGATAGGTTACTGTTTATTTTGGCTATTATTAAACTTCGAAATCAGCCTCAAACATACGAGTACATCAGAAGGATTAATGTAAACAAGTTTTCTCTATGATCAATTAGGGAGTTACTGCAAAACAAACCTTTGGATAGAAGAGAAACTTAAGTCCATATAATACATCTAAACATTCTAGTATTAACTTTATTTATTTACTCTAGGTCTTCAAAATCTACAATATAAGTCTATTGCAGTTTACACTGTGATTGTTGCTGTACGAAAAGATGAGTAGGTAGTTGAGTGTAGGCCCTATACAGTGTTTGCGTATTAAAGAGAAGGTCTCTAAGTTAGTTCGATCCAGAGAAAAGACAGACACTTTTTGGCAAAGTACCTTGGCTTTTTGGTGCTCGAAACTAGACCCAGCTGTCCTTGATCATTGCTGGGCTTCTAATTCAAAATAACTAAAGAATCAACTGAACCCTGGTGTGTGGAGGTGGAACAAATCTAAAAAAAATATATTTTACTTTCAATAATAGGCTACTCACGTATTTGAAATTAAGTTACTGACTCTGGTTTTTTTGCAGTCGCAGACGATGCATCTGGCCAAGATCCTGGCGCGACGCAAGACCGAGGACGTGGATGGTGACCGAGGAGGGGCCAAGCTCAAGAGAGTCCTGGGACTGGGTGACCTGACCATGCTAGGGGTAGGCTCCACTCTGGGGCTGGGGGTGTATGTCCTGGCAGGGTCTGTGGCTAGAAGTGACGCAGGGCCCGCAGTCACCATCTCCTTCCTCATCGCAGCCATAGCCTCCGCATTCGCCGGTGAGTATTAGTGCCTATGTAATATGTATGTGTGTTGAGAATGAGAATGAGAGAATGAGAATGATTTATTTCCTGAAAGCATAATATGTACAAGGAAACGTCAATACATCAAAATCTTAGCCTAAGCCTGCAACACACCATGCAGAGAATTGAAAAACAAAAACAAAACTTATTTATCATTAGGTGTTAGTGTTTGTAGGGCCTATGTATAGGAAGTGCTTAATTGATTTGCATCACTTATGTTCTAAATAACTTGGGGAAACAACTAAGGCAGATTTTAACCCAATCTTGAATGGATGATAAGCTTGGAAGGCTTGGTCCAGTAGTTTTAACCCATCAAAAAGCTTATAACTTTTCTCAAGTGAAACCAGTGACCTTTTGATTGTTAAATGAGCTTTAAACCCGCTCAGATACTGTCATGTCAGAGTACTATCCATGAAGTGATAACTAACTTAAAATAAAATGAAAATCCTTCTTTATTGAGGCGAACTTAGTACCTCATGGTCCTTTTTCACAGTTAACCTCTAGAACTGACCGTTAGTGATTATCATAATAGGTTATGTTATACATATCTACAACAAAATAATACACCGATATAAACAAAATATATAATACGAATGTTTTACAAACAAAAGAATAATGAACTCTGGTAGTATCATAACGGAAAACAAAACATTTTGACGTGGCATCAGTTTCGCCACAGAATTATTTCATCGAATGCCTCCTAGGTATGGAATTAGTAAGAACAGTATAGGCTACAGTTTATCTAACATTAATTATCCTTAGACATTTAAAAGCTTTTTACTTTAAACGCAGGCAATTGACGAGAGTCAGATCTTGTTAAGTAAGCTATAATGATGCCATTGATCATGAGAAATTTGGGAAAATCTATAATCATTAGTTTTTCCATAGACAAAAATAATTAAATATAGACTGTCAGCCGTGCTGCGGTTACCATGGTTACCATAGGTTCTGGCGCACACCGCTGGAAGCGCTGTGTAGTTACGTAGCCCAAACGCCGTAAGTACATGGCGCTCCCAGCGGTGTGTGCCAGAACCTATAGTAGACGCAGCATAGCTGAAGGTCTATATTTCATGTTTTTTATCTATGGTTTTCCCTACTGGTTTTTTTGTATCAGCATTAAAAGACTAGTCTTTTCTAACTCAATGTTCGTACACAACATTGCAAAGCACTAAAGCCAAAGCTAATGAATAATTAAAAGCTAATTTTATCCCCTGAGGGTATTGTTCTGAACGATTAGCTGCCTGATGAAAAATATCATATATTTATATAACCAAAGGCAGATAAGGTAGAGAATGATGTCAGAGTCACGAGGTAGATAGGTAGAGAGGTAGAGAGTTGTTCACATGTTATCTGCAAAGCCAGCTTTTCAAAACTTGTTTTTCTACTTTATCTTATCAAACACTCAAAAAACTGTTTATTAAACCAGTCTGAGATCTTAATTTGCATACAGAAAGATATTTTGAGAAATTTGAAATCACTAGAGATTTGGACCTAGAACTCCTAGAATGTGTGCATGTATGACTGGCTATAGAAGACCATGTAAAATTATTACCATCAAGCTATAATTGAACATCAATGTCCCAACCTAACTTGGAAGGGGTTCTAAATTACTAGCCTACTGAAAAGTCTTGAGGAGCGATTGTTCTTATGGAAAAAATGTAAGGAAACAAAGTACTATAATAAAATACAGTAGAACCTCGATTACAAGACTCCCATAGGGATCATTAAAAGTGTGCAGATTTTTGTATTGGGTAGAAACGGCAGACACCTTTTCACACATTCAGAACCTTTTTTATGTCAAAAGATAAAGAATTTTATCAGAAACATTCTCTGTAACCATAAGATATCAAAATTCCAATGACAACTGGATTAACTTAAGGGACTTGGAACGAATCGGAAATCAGAAAGGTCTATACACAATTACTACAACATTGTAATTGACAAGGTCAAGATCAGAATGCAAGATCAGTGTTTGTGTACAAGAAAGAGGTTAATAAACTAAGCGAGATTGTCAGTCATGGTCCCAAACCTGGATATATAGCTAAACATGGACTATATTCATGCGCTAAAACAGTTTTATAATAAAAAAAAGTGAAGCACTAATGACCCGATACATTGACCTCATCACTATTCAATATCAAATTTTTGTTAAAAAGCATTATTGATTCAAAAATTTTAAACTGACAGCCTTGACACCTATAATATTTTAATATAGATAATAATCTACTTAAGTATGCAAGAAGGTGTCAATTATTGACATGAACGATGACATGAATTTAACGATAATTGACACCTGGTAATATACTTAAGTAGATGATTCTAAAAACCATTAAACTTTAGAACTATTAAATCTTTTAAGTATTAAATCTTACTAAATGCAGTAGGCACTTCTCTGAATAATTGATAAGATAAGAGCTATTGTCTGATAGAAGATTTACTTATAAAAATACACTCTTGTACATAAATTATCTAGTTCAACAAGGTCACATTTTACAGCGCATTTACATAAAATTTACTATACCAAAATAGGTTATTTATTATAGATAGCCCTTGGTGTAAAAGATAAAATATAAGACTCATAAGAAATGGTGTGTCTAAGTTGTCCACAAACTATTGTGATTAAAGTGTTCATACTTGAAGCCAGACATGAAATAGAACTTGTTCAACAGAGAACCACTGTTTATGTTTCAACTCTGAGAAAATTCATTATTTTGTATGGTTAATTGTGCCCAGCTGTTTTTATTTCTAAGCTTTTAATCATCATTTCTGGCTAAGAACATAGACAAATAAGAAGCAGGTGACAGTAACAGAATTAGTCAGTAACAGAATTAGTCAGAATCAAGTCAGTAACCTTAGTCAGTAACAGCCCCATGTCACATGTGGGTTAAAATTCACCCAGTTGCTTCCTTAATTTACTTGGCGATGCTTGTGTGATTTTGTTTTATCAGTTTTATCATAGACAAAAAGAATTAAATATAGACTGTCAGCCGTGCTGCGGTTACCATGGTTACCATAGGTTCCGGCGCACACCGCTGCAGTTTACGTAGCGCGTACGCCGTAACTACGGTGGTGCTCCAAGCGGTGTGCGCCAGAACCTATGGTAACCGCAGCACAGCTGACGGTCTATATTTAATTCTTTTTGTCTATGGTTTTATACATGAGTTTGGTAAAGGTTCTACTCTGTACTAAGGAAAAAATAACATGTATTGCTATTTGCAACAAAACTAAACCTCAAGCTTACATCTTGCTTATAAGTTTTTCTCCCATTGATAATTATTCTGGAATACCTACCTAGATTTTTCATTAAAACATAAAACGTGTTTTCTAGAAAAGTTAGGAAGAATGATTTCCACCAATTATTGTAAGGCTTTTGAGGGATGTATTTTTTCAAAATCAAGTTTGGATGTAGTACAGAAGATTTAGAAAATTTTTCTCTATTCCCAGTTTGTTCTCTTAGTGAATTTCCCGCTATTTACCATAGATGAAACTTCATTTATGCTATTACCGTAGGTGACACCAGGGCCCTATTTACTGTACTTTTTCATTTTTATGTTTCCAGAGGCCAAAAACCCTATTTGTTCAAATATATTTGCCGTTAGATTTTGATGAAATTTTGTATGAACATACAGCTGAATATACCCTTGAAAGAGTTTGTGAACCAGCACGATTGGGTCATGGGAGCAGGGGGTCTTATAAGGGTCAAACATTTTTGAAAATTGGTTTTTTTCAAATTTTTACTTTATTAAAAAACTCTTTTACATCTCCGTACCAGGAAACCTATAGGTACTCATGCATGCTATCTAATGTTATTAAAATAGGAAAAAAAGTGACAAGTTTAAGAAAATATTTTAAGACCAAAAACCTTATCAGACAAATGGGGGTTTTCTTAGTCAGCAGGTTTGCTGCGGCAGAGTTATTTTTAATTTCTAGTATATACTTAATTTTTCCTTGTGTACCAGTATGACTAATGTATGTCTAGTGTGTGGCATTAGGTAGATTTATGATGTTTTAGATAGCGTTTGCTGATAGCTTGCACGCTTAAGAGACCTGATACTAGGAGGCCACAGCTTATCTATACAACCTCAATGACAACTTTCATTCATCTGAATACAGCTTTTAGACATATATTTTAAATTTAAAAATATGTTTATTGCTTTACTAATATCATTGTTTTTATAATGAAGTAAGTTAGACACCCCATCCCAGATTGGGATTAGCTGTAGCCAGTATTTAAGTCGAAAGAATATAGTAAAATGAAATTCTTATATTATGGCGGTATGGTATTGGGCATATGACCCACCTACATACCCATTTATAAAAAATAATAAATTTTGAGTTCCGGCATAAACAAAAAGAATTAAATATAGACCGTCAGCTGTGCTGCGGTTACCATAGGTTCTGGCGCACACCACTGGGAGTGCCGTGTAGTTTACGTAGCGCGTATGCCATATCTACATGGCGCTCTCAGCGGTGTGTGCCAGAACCTATGGTAACCGCAGCACAGCTGACGGTCTATATTTAATTCTTTTTGTACATGGTTCCGGGGACCATAAAAGATAGTAACATTCTAGACCTTGAATTTAGCACACCAACTACGCAATGCCTAACAATAACTATTAATTGTTGAGAAAATTCACCTGATAATTAGTAACTAAATAATACAAACTTGAGAACTTATCTAGGCTAATGAGCAAAGGTTTTTAGGACTAAAGCTATCACAGTTGATAAATATTCATGGCTAGAACTGTGCAGCGGCATGTTACGCAAATAATGACTAAAACGCTACGTAAAACAGGTGGAGACTATGTGTGGCAGTGTGAATGACATCATGCTTTTAGCATAATACCTCTTTTGAAATACATTGTTGCGGCAGCGAAAGTAGAGAAATGTAAAAACAATTAAGTTAAAATATGCGTTGTTAGAAGAGAGACATTTTAAGCGTGCACAAACCTTGAAATACGAGATAGAAGTAAATCTTCTAAAATGAATTCTAAGTTCATGGCCCAAATTGATTGATTGATTGATTGTGGTTATGTGATGAACAATTATTTAAATCTTTACATAGGATTAAAAAAATATTATATTTTTAGGCTTGTCTAGTGTTTGAACATTGAACTTCTGACATCACAGGTTGAGTTCATTTTCAGATAATAACCAACTTTTAGATCTATAACTGTCAAAACTGGTTCAAAATCCACCATGAGTTTTTGAAGAACACCTACTAAAGAACTGAAACAGCTATGATCTCATTACAGGGATCATTACTAAGAATCCAAGTCATACGAACAAATTTAATTGTTTTATGTCAAAACATAAATAATATGAAGCTACAACAACAGATATAACAGAGACGAACTCGTATAGTTATTTTAATTTGATTCCACTGATATTTTGAACTTATTTTGCTCACAATTGTAAGTTAATTGATGCCTAATGCTCGTTATTATCTAAAGAATGCAAGAGTTTGCCAGTGTTCCTTATGTAACACAAAGGAAGGGAATTTCCCAAGGTTTTGGCCACACTGCTACACTGGCCTTCAGTGCTCCGGTTTTCACTTTACAGCATGGTTGAAATTCGAACGAATTCTTGAACCAGCATTTTCAGACTATGGGAACAGGGTTTTTGTGGGATAAAAATTAGTTAATCTAGAAATTTTTACCTATACCAATTTGTTCTGTTAAAAACAATTTAGAACATTGAAGCATTGCTGTACCTTAACAAATTATGGAGAAAATTCTAAAAAGATGTTACGTTTAAGATTCCTATGTTATTTTAATGGAAAATAAGTAAACAGTTTTTGTTTGCTTGTTTATGGATGCATTCTGATCAAATTTGGCAAATTGATAGATTTTTTTATATAAAATATTATTATTTCACTGAAAAACACATTTCGCTGTAGAAGCAAACCTATAAGTACGCGTTAACCCTAATGTTATTTATATAGGGAATAACTCTGACAATTTAAAGATTTAGTGAAAACCGAATCGGAGCAATGAAAATTTGCTTAGTCTGCAGGTTTGATGTGGCAGAGGTAGTTTCTTGAATACAATTAATTAATTGTGTGTTTAAGTTTCTATGTTCTTTAGTTTATACCAACCAATTTAAAAAATATGAACATAAATTATTGTAATTGACATATGATGTGCACAAGAACTCTGCCCTGAAATGTGGCTTTTTGTTATTTTGTACAGTCATTTCAACAAATTTTCCTTCTGAATTACAGCACAGACAATAGACCATTAATTGGTCTAATAGTCTATGATATTGTAATCATACCACTTAAATTAAATACCACTTGCGTCTAGTGGTGTGACTCTTAATGTTGGAAGCCTGTCCTTCATCCCTCCTTATAGTCATCCTAATTCACTCGAGCTATACTTTAATTACAAGAAGTGGGGTTTAAAAGGGTGGGTCAGAAGGTTATATCCTAGATTTTCTAATTTGAGGGCTGCTAAGGAAAATGTTGCAGTTTTTTCCTTGGGAAGGTTTTGAACCCACAGCATTTAGCTACAAACACAGCACATTAGTACTGTTGAGACAATATTGAGTTGCTTCTCTGCGCTCTAGTTGACGGTAGTTGTATCGTGTTGCAGGTATCTGTTACGCAGAGTTTGCTGCGCGAGTGCCCAAGGCAGGGTCTGCGTACGTCTACAGCTACGTGACTGTAGGAGAACTAGCGGCCTTCATCATCGGCTGGAACCTCATCCTAGAGTATGTCATCGGTAAGACTCAATAGCAAAACTAACCCGTAGATGGATAAGATATTTTATAATGGCATGATTGCTTCTGAATACACCAAAAAATACCTGCTTGTTCAACGTTTAAACTGCACTAAGCAACTAGTTTAAGCTCAGAATCAGCTGACTTGGCCGCACGCTGGCGATAGTTTACCTAGCGGCCGCCGCGGGAACCATAGAAAATTCAAATATTTCCAGACTGACTTCCACAAAGGCATTGCGCTTCTTAAAGTGTTTGTATTAACTGCTTTAAACCACTTGTTTTTCCACACATTTGTTAGATCAACAACAGCTGTAGAGTCAGTTGTTGTTAAAATTGAGTTTTAAACACAAAAATATGTTTGTAACAAACTATAAAAAACTTTCTTTCTGAAAGGCATCTATCTTTTGTCTTTTGTGCATATATATTTTACAAGAAATATCAAAGCAGTACTCCTTAGGAACAAGGATGTACACTGTAAACTATTCAATCAATAATATGAGAGCTTTGTTTCTGAACTGACTGATATCAGCTAGTTGATAAGTTGTACCATTGACTATTGGATACAGAAGTTGTTGTATTAATAGCCAAATGTACGTAAGGTTTGGTTACTTAACAGTTGGAGCTTAAACTTTGACAGATTGTTGTTCTGTTCAGGTACAGCCAGTGTAGCTAGAGGTCTCAGCAACTACATAGACTCACTGCTGAGTCATGCCATGAGTTCAGCTCTCACAGAAGTCATGCCTATCAACGTCTCCTGGCTCAGTCCGTACCCTGACTTCCTCTCTTGTGGCTTCATACTCTACATGTTGTTGTTCTGTTCAGGTACAGCCAGTGTAGCTAGAGGCCTCAGCAACTACATAGACTCACTGCTGAGTCACGCCATGAGTTCAGCTCTCACAGAAGTCATGCCTATCAACGTCTCCTGGCTCAGTCCGTACCCTGACTTCCTCTCTTGTGGCTTCATACTCTACATGTTGTTGTTCTGTTCAGGTACAGCCAGTGTAGCTAGAGGCCTCAGCAACTACATAGACTCACTGCTGAGTCACGCCATGAGTTCAGCTCTCACAGAAGTCATGCCTATCAACGTCTCCTGGCTCAGTCCGTACCCTGACTTCCTCTCTTGTGGCTTCATACTCTACATGTTGTTGTTCTGTTCAGGTACAGCCAGTGTAGCTAGAGGCCTCAGCAACTACATAGACTCACTGCTGAGTCACGCCATGAGTTCAGCTCTCACAGAAGTCATGCCTATCAACGTCTCCTGGCTCAGTCTGTACCCTGACTTCCTCTCTTGTGGCTTCATACTCTACATGTTGTTGTTCTGTTCAGGTACAGCCAGTGTAGCTAGAGGCCTCAGCAACTACATAGACTCACTGCTGAGTCACGCCATGAGTTCAGCTCTCACAGAAGTCATGCCTATCAACGTCTCCTGGCTCAGTCCGTACCCTGACTTCCTCTCTTGTGGCTTCATACTCTACATGTTGTTGTTCTGTTCAGGTACAGCCAGTGTAGCTAGAGGTCTCAGCAACTACATAGACTCACTGTTGAGTCATGCCATGAGTTCAGCTCTCACAGAAGTCATGCCTATCAACGTCTCCTGGCTCAGTCCGTACCCTGACTTCCTCTCTTGTGGCTTCATACTCTACATGTTGTTGTTCTGTTCAGGTACAGCCAGTGTAGCTAGAGGCCTCAGCAACTACATAGACTCACTGTTGAGTCACGCCATGAGTTCAGCTCTCACAGAAGTCATGCCTATCAACGTCTCCTGGCTCAGTCCGTACCCTGACCTGCTCTCTTGTGGCTATGTACTCTACATGTTGTTGTTCTGTTCAGGTACAGCCAGTGTAGCTAGAGGCCTCAGCAACTACATAGACTCACTGTTGAGTCTAGCCATGAGTTCAGCTCTCACAGAAGTCATGCCTATCAACGTCTCCTGGCTCAGTCCGTACCCTGACTTGCTCTCTTGTGGCTATGTACTCTACATGTTGTTGTTCTGTTCAGGTACAGCCAGTGTAGCTAGAGGCCTCAGCAACTACATAGACTCACTGCTGAGTCACGCCATGAGTTCAGCTCTCACAGAAGTCATGCCTATCAACGTCTCCTGGCTCAGTCCGTACCCTGACTTCCTCTCTTGTGGCTTCGTTCTTGTACTCTCCAGTGAGTCATGATATTTTTTCCATCCACATGCCAGTTTTAGTATATCATAGAGAGTGTGTGCTGATGAATTCTTAATAACTGCTGATTTCTGTTGAATTTGCCACCTTTCTTAGTCAACCTGATGGGACAACTTATTGTCAGCTATGTATCTTTTATGACACATAAACTCACTCAGAGATAAGAACTAAAGCAGAGTTAGGTAAATCAAATTTAATAGGTATGTGTAAATCATTGTTAAACATGTTGAAACAAGAACAACTAGTTTGATCAGGTACGACCATAAATTAAATGGAGAGGATAAAATCAAACAGGTTGGATTTAGAACCAGTATATGAAATGATCATATGGACAGATGTTGTGCAATAAAACACTCAATGTGTACCAGTAAAACTTGCCACAATTGCAAAAGAACAATAATCGATCTGTAATAACCATAACCGCAAAATGTGTTTTAATAGATGAGATAAAGGTTCTATTCAATCTTGAATGCTATATACTGGTTAATAGTCTAGACTGACGAGGAAATACAGGTCTAAACACTTTTTACTGTTACCTTGGGTGCAAGAGACTACTTTTAACAGTATCACCGTATTAAAACAGTCCTTGAGATAAGTTCTGATTAACTTGTAAAGGTTAACCACCTGGCTTTAAACCAAGAATTCATTTTCTATGTATTTATTCATAAAAGGTTTTGGGGAGTCAAAGTCGAAATTTTTTTATTTTTTTCAGTTTTTACTTTTTATGTTCTTTTTATAGCACAGCATTTCTTCTTAAAAATGGTACACTTACATTTTTGATTACTAACCTAGAAATGTATAAAAAAATATATTTTCCATAACAATGCAGTGACGTTTTAAAGGTAAACTAGTAGACCCTTGGTTGACCCTTGGAGGCTTATCTTGCCGATTTCCGCAACTTTACTTTTTTAAACTTTAATGTCATTTTTTTCAGGACTGGTAATACATACAGCTGTGAAATTTTTACCATGTAGTCTTAGTGATTTATTCTAAACACAGACATAAGGAATTCATCATATCTTTAGTAGAAGCATGTACAAAAAATAATAAATTTTATTTTTGAAACAATTTTTTTTAGTCTATAAAAACATATAAAATAGTTATTTTTAATTTTAAATGAAAAATCTTGTGTCTGTGACTAGTTAATTAGTTAATATAAAAGTATACCAAGTTTCACTATCTTACCTATTCTAACTCCTGAGAAAAGTGACATTTAGTTAACATTACTAAAGATAGGACCTCGATCTCCCCTTAAGTATAAAATACCCATTGTTAACAATTTATTGCTTATTTGAATTTGCAGATTAAAGTACATGTAGCCTACATATATGTATTGGATACGGCCCTGTTAGATTTATTAATTTACTTGATTTTTCTTCTTGAAAAGTTAATATTCTATAATTTCAGTAACAATCTGACAGTTTGTATCTCATTTTGTTGTGGTCAAGGGATGGGTCTAGTGGTAAAGCGTGGCACTTTGGTCCCTGAGTTCCTAGGTTCAAATCCCACTAAAACACTAATGAATTTTATCTAAATGATAATGCCACAACCCCTAGCTCAAGAGGTGAGAATTTTTAACCTACTTCCTCTGTTACAACTGTTGAAATAAAATGAAATAGTAGTTGGTATTTAATTTATTAGTTTAATTTTGATTATGAACAATTTTGACAATTCAGACCCAGAGTTTTATAAGTTTCCATATAAAGTTTGGTTACTTTGTTAATATCACATAGCACAGTATATCAGATCTATGTTGAAAAAATTCCCGAAACTTTAGTTTACATTCATAACGTTGTAGTAATATATTTTTGATTGTTAAGGTTTTTCGTAATGTACTGGTACTAATATATCATCTTTTGGTTTCCAGTTCTACTGGCATGGGGTGTTAAAGAATCATCCTTTCTCAACAATGTATTCACTGCAGTCAATCTTTTCACAGTGGCTCTAGTCATTGTCGTGGGAGCTTTCTACAGTAAGTATATTAAATCAGCTGTTTAGTCAATAGCAAAACCATTTTGATAGCATTCACATTCATTGCAAAAATATATTATAGCTCTGATTTATGATTTAATTGATAAATTATGAATCCTTTAAGCTAATGATTGATTGTAACGAAAATGATTGTTTACAAACCTAAGTTAAAATTTAATGTACATTAACTTATTTGTGTAATAAAATATCTATGTTGAAACCCTAGTATGATACTAATTTATGGTTAAACATATTTTTGTAGAAAAAATATTAACAAAAACAAAAATAAAACAAAACAGTAAGAAAAACACACTTTCAAAATTTATGCTTTTAGAATACTTTTCTACAGACCATACCAGTGCGAGGTCTTGGGTCCCTTCCAGCCTCCCCCTTAAAATTAAAATTTTTAACTTGTTTGATGTCTTTCCAAGCCAATTTCAGCATAGAACTGTGTACAAAAAAAAGCTGTAAAAAAACAAATTTATATTTATAGGGTCCAATGGGGAAGGCTTTAGCCCCTATATCAAATCAAATCAAATTATTACAAGGGCTAAAGGGGGTTGCATATCCATAATAATGTAACGTTTATTTTTTTCACATTATATTTGCATTGTAAATCTTAAACGTCAGTTGTATTTAGAGAAAATAGGTTAACACGTTCGCTACTGAGCACCGAGGTATACATTTGAATCTTACACACAGACCGTCTGCCACTTGGATAACAGTACACACAGACCGCGGGCGAAAACCTGTAAAACAGTGATCAATTTCATTGTAATACGCTACAATCGTGTTTGTAAATAATGTATTCTTTTTTTTTTTGTATTATTAATAACCTTTTGTAATGTCGCATATTTGCGACGCCCGGTCTACAGCAAAGACAATAGTGAAAATTATCATAGTTTTCTTGAAATAGACCAAACGTCGCATATATGCGACAGTTCATTTTTTGTGTTTTGAGGTGAAAGTAAGTAAAATAAAAAACAGATTGATCAAGAACAGTTTATAACTGAACAAATATAAAAGCTACATAGGATAATGCAGCATACATACTGCATACATACACACAGTGATGCAGAAAAGTAAAGACCAGTTTTTCCAAGTATCATATTATGTCACCAATCATCATATCCACTGACCAAGCGACACAGTTGTGCGTCAGACATCTCTGTAGACTACTTCAGGGAATTCAGTGCCTTCAAATAGACCGTTACAAAGATATAAGCATTTTAATAACATTAGAACCCCGACGCAAATATGCGGCGGCAGTCTATTTTAATGTGACTAGCCGACGCATATATGCGACGGCAGTCTATGGGTGGAACCCGGCCGACGCATATGTGCGTCGCTGGTCCACGTGAATGAAAAAAATCGTACTATTGCAGTAGCGAACGTGTTAAACAATAAACTCCCAATAACACTAAACCATGTGGGCAATAATTCAAAAATGCAAATCAGCTGATCAGGGATGAGGTAAAAGAATCATGGCTGTTAAATTATATGCTTCTTTAGTCTCTAAACAGTAACATGTTGCTTAAACTTGGGTTGCTTTTAGGAAAAAACACCCTTTATTTTATTGCACTTCTTCCAATTCATGTGTATATTTAGTATCATTATGTATGCCTTCAACAACAAAAATATGTTTCAGTTGACATCAAGAACTGGACAGTGGACCCGGCGGAAGCTCCCACAACAGACCAGGACGGCAAACCCGTGGTGGTGGGGTTGGGTGGCTTTGCCCCCTTCGGAATCTCGGGTATCATGGCGGGTGCTGCCAAGTGCTTCTACGGTTTCGTGGGCTTTGACTGTGTCGCCACTACAGGTATGAACAAAAAATAAGTATTCCAAAACAAAGTTTATCAAGTAGGTAGGTTTTAGCAAAGACCGGGGGCCAGTGTAATCTTTTTTTGGAGTAATATATACTATAAAATCAAAAACTGTAAATTTGCTATGAAGAAGGTTTAAATAACCCTGTGTTATGCCTCCAGAGCAAAGTGCATGTTTACAGTTAATTCAAAATTTTCTCCTGGGAGGATTTCTTATTCTCAGCCTACCTTTGGATTAGTGATATTTTTGGAAAGCAGTTCCTCTCTTTTCATCGAGGTCCTATGGCAGAAAATAGCACTTCGTAAAGACTTTGAGAGACAAAACTTGTTTTAGCGTTTTTTATTTAAATATTTTATCTAACCATCATTCAAAAAAGGTTATTTGTGTTTTTGAGAAAGTAAAATGTAACTTTAAACTTCGAGACATTTTTGAACTCACATAGAATCTGAAAATTAAATTACTTCACTCATATAATTAAACCGATTGAGTTGTGTTGAAACTTTCTATTGGGATTATTGTTAAATATGAATACTAAAAGAGTCTGTACATTTCTTTGATGAATTTCCAACATCATATCACAAGATATAATTGTTCAAAATTATTATTTGCAGGAGAAGAAGCCAAGAACCCGAAACGAGACATTCCTCTGTCCATCATTCTTTCTCTAATAATCATCTTCCTCGCCTACTTTGGAATATCTTCTGTGCTCACTCTCATGTACCCATACTACCTTCAGGTAATACACAATAATTTTGTTCTTAAACCTACCACCTAAATGTAGCCTAATATGTTTGTTTTTAGCCAAGTTTTAATCCAAAAATGGTTTGAAATTAAATTATGAAACAGACAGAAACAACTCCTACAGCTAAGCCTGTATATATTCTGAGGAATTTTGGAACTATAGCTGGGTTTTTCCTAAGTGCGGAACGTGTATATAGTGGAGTGTGAAGTAATTTTTTGCTTGTCCAGTGGCCATGGATCTACTTCTAAAAAACAGACATTAAATTATGTAATACAAGAGGAGAGCAGACTCCGCGCTCTCTGCTCTATGCGCCAAGGAAAATCCAGTTTAACTAAATAATTTTAACCCCTCTGAACTATAGTTTTTTAAGATTAATCAGTGTGGCAGATTGCGTGTAATAAATATAAAGGTTACTTACAGTCTTCGCAATCCTGTTAATTGAGCACTACGGCCGTTTCGGAGATAACTCCATCGTCGGGTGCGTAGTCATCATACACTAATCTGATCTATTTTGCCTATATTTTGATCTATATTGCCGAAACGGCCGTAGTGCTCAATTAACAGGATTGCGAAGACTGTAAGTAACCTTTATATAGTTTTTTGCCTGCCTAGGGGCTAGCGCCTCAAATTTTTGTCTAGAGTTAAAAGTTCTATTTTTGGCATATCCACAAAAAATCTTGTTTTCTTTTCAAGAATAATATATGAATACTCTTTGAAAAAGAATACCTGTGTATGATATCTTTACTATGTAAACAATAGAGCTTCTTTGATGTGAGAAGGATGTGTAATGTGTATTCTATTGTATATCCAAATATCCGCATTGGATGCCAAAGAATGTAATGCGATAATCGTGGTAGGTGTATACAAAACTCATTTTAGAACTTTGTAACACTTTTGATGGCGTGATTGAGTTATGTTTTGTCTATTTAGGATGTCGATGCCCCCTTGCCGTTTGTGTTTGGAAAAGTTGGATTGAACATCGTCAAATATATTGTCAGCACTGGAGCGATATTTGCACTGTGTACGAGGTGAGTCTATCATTAAAATAGTTTAAGCACTGTCAAGACCTTTAGGAAGGAATTAAAGAAATTCGTTGTCATAATATACACTGACCTGAACAATTTAAATGTTGACTGTTTAACTTTATCAGTGTTAAGAACTCTATGGTGTTGTTAATTTTATTGAGGAGCGATAATTTTGAATTTGTAATGAGTTTATTTATTAAGTGGTAGAACAGTTCTTGTAAAATCAACTAATGATTTTGGTTCTGTTAAAAAGTATTGTAACATATCAAACAACCAATAGGCTTAAATTTGGTCAAAAACTATGAAGGGCATTCTAACTTATTGTCTTCATGTAATAATATGCACTATATTTGGTAAAACATAACTTTATCATTCTATTATGATGCACATGAGGGTTGTCTGGAAATTGTAGTGTTTTAGAATGTTTGCACACATAAAACCAATGTGTTCCGTCATAACAACGGTTCAGTGTATCTCATTAATTTGGGGAGTTCAAAACTATTAAAATATTTTACAAAATTTGTGACTGCAATGGGAAAACACACTGTTGCACAAAGGGAAACTCACATTCAGATGGTACTGAAATTTTTTTGGGTGTATCACAGAGAAATAAGTACAAAGGAAACATTCAATGGTACCTAAGTGGTGTCTAGCACTAGTCGCTGGTGTCTAGGGCAATGTCCAACACCATCCCCTTTGCCCTCATGTACTACAACGCTCACAGTGTTGGGAGACCCTGTACTCGCCGGTCAGGATCTTCCTTGCTTGTCAAAAGTATATTTCCGGCACATCATCCCAGAGCTGAAAAATCACGGTCGTCCCAAAGCGTGTTTCCTCTGTACCTAACTTCTCTGTGGGTTTACAATAAGTGAACTAATCCAGCACATTGGGAGTTTTGGATTATCGAAAATATTAGATGACTGAGCACTATTTGAAAGTGACCATGATTGTGGGAGCTAAAATCAAAAATCAAAAGAGGTTTTAAACGATTAAGTAGATTTTCATTGTGTTTCCATCCAATTGTTTCCATCAAACATTTTTTTCTGTGAATGAATTGTACATTCATCAAGAACATATTGTGAAGTTGTATAACATTGATAGGTGGAAGATAGGAGGGGATTTACTTTTCTACACAAGCATTAGCTGTCTGGACTGTTCTAAAAAGATTTTACTGAGGGTTGTAAATTTTTAATTTAGATAGAGAATTTTTATATAGTTGCTGATGGATGATAGGGGTAAATTTGTGATTTTAACTCAGCATTGAGTACACAGGCATATTTAATGTTATATAGAACACAAACATCATTGCTGTCTAGTCAGTTGTAAATATTTTCTGAATGGATTGATGAATTTAGCATGAGAATTTTTATGGAGGTTTTGATGGAAGGTTGTCTCTTTTTGGCAGCCTGTTGGTAGCCGTGTTTCCATTGCCGGGAGTCTTTTACACATTTTCCTACAAAAAACAATATTACCCATTTGGGTTCTCAAAAAGATGGGGGATTCACACAAACATTGTTAGTACAAAAACAATTTTTGCAGTCTGGACTATTCTCAAGTTGTTTTACTGATTGAATTTAAAACTTGGTGGGAATTGCACCTTGGTACACTGTGCCAAATCCAATATCCAGACTATAGACATACCACGAACTAAACAACCTGCGCAGAAACGATGAAAAGATCACGTGGTTCGCGCCGGTAGGTGTGGCGTACCATTCAAACCTGCGCGGCTCGAAACGGCCCAGGGTTCTTTTGTTTCTGGTATTACTATAGCAAAGTTTGCTGTAGTACAGAAACATTGCTGTCCAAACGCAAGTTTAAAATCATTTGACGGACTCTATCATAAATGTTTAATGTAGTCAGAGTATTTTTGCACTGTGGAGTTTGTGATGGTAGCTAAGTGTGATGTTAACAGCCTACTAGGAGCCATGTTCCCGTTGCCGAGAGTGTTGTACGCGATGTCCCACGACGGTCTGCTGTTTGAGTATCTCTGCAGTATACACCCGACGACTCTCACTCCTGTACTAGCCACTCTCAGTGCCGGAGTGTTTGCAGGTTAACTCTCCTGACTGATGCATCATGGGATTGATAGGTGGTGGTTAACTAACAATGAGTGGCTGCTAAGTTAACAGTGAATGGCTGCTAAGATAACACCGCTTAACATATATACTACTTCTGGACTTGAATTATGGTGGGGGAGTTTTGATGGATTGAGTAATTATGGTTTCAGGAAAATATAGTGCTCTGGTTTAGAGGTACATTTGCTGCTGAAATATTTGTTAAGAAATACTATTTAATGGTGATGGTAGCTATAAAGTACATTATTATTTTTTTATTTGTCTCATAAGCCTTTTTCAGAAGAGAAATGTTTCTCGTAATCTTTTATATGAAATTGCATACAAGATTGGCCATTTTAAAATATCAAATACAAAATGATTTTCTCGAAGAAGTCATTTTTAAACTGCAAAGTTGTAGAGCACTACAATAATTGATTTTACGCCACACTACACTAAACAGCTGTTTGCCGCCAGCTTAATCAAATGGGGTTTCATTACATACTACTGTAGTGTAATGAGTTTTACCGGACACCAACCAGCTGACTATATACTGTATTTGGCAATGAGGGAGAGTTGTTAATATGACTTGTCCTTTAGTCGGTAGTAATATATAGGAATTTGTACCGATTTAGTAGTATGGCGTAAAATATTGTACGTCACTCGTCCAAAATGTGTTTACCGGACTTGTATGCCCACACTCGTCTGGTAAACACCTATTTTCAGGACTAGTAACGTAATATACTAATACATTATTTTTAACAGTTGTAAATTAATGCAACAATTGGTGCAGCTATATGTATTAAAACCCAAATTATAATTAACTACATTTGTTTCTTTTTTCTTAACTTGTAGAACAAATTGTTTAATCTTTCTTACAGAACCTTTATTTTTAAGTTCTTTCCACAGGTTTTCCTGCTGCTTACTAATTTGTTTCCTCTAATTTTGCATGTATACCTATTGAAATTACTAATCTTACTATTGCCTTTTTTATTAGTTTTTAGTGTCTAACTATTTGTATTATATCTGCTCTTAATCATTTTCTCACAGCTTTTCATCTCCATAATATTTATTTGTAGCATTCATGTGTCATTGTTAAATTTTTGTAACAGTTGTATAAATTGTGAAAAAAGTCAACATTTTTTAAAGAAAACTCTTTTCTGTCCGGATGGTGTCAAACTTAAAAAGTATGTTTTAAACAACGTCTCTTAAAATAGCGTCAATGTTTTACGAGTATTTAAGGATCACTTTTTACTTACATTGTTGTTGCAGCATGTTTGGATGCATGTTTCCTGTACCGAGACTACTTTACGCAATGGCCAATGATGGGATAATGTTTTTTAAGCTCGGAGTCATCAACGAAAAAACAAGAACCCCAATTCTCTCCTGCCTTGTTTGCGGCATTGTGGCAGGTCTTTCGCTACTAACAGTTTCTTAACAATTCTTAGTTTCTTAAATTTTCTTAAACTGAGAAAATGACAGATTAAGTATAATAAGTTGTAAGGTGAACTGGTGCTATAATGTACTAGAACACCTTAGTTTTAGAATTGTCGTTAGGTGAAAACTACTAATAACTACTAATATTTTACTACTAATAAGTTTAAGTGAAAACAAATGCAGTAAATTACTAAAATTGTCTCTTAGTGACTTCCGACTCCCTAAAAGGAGAAGGTGGTCTTTTATATTCTCAGTAGCTCTTCGAACTGAACTTCTTTGACATTTGTGATCAATTTTATAACTCTTTTTTAAAGGTTAAACAACAGTTTCTAATCACAAATTTGACAGATCAGCCTTTTATATTCATGTAGTTTTGATTCCACAAGAATACATTTAATTAATAGATTTATCTTTCATTGACTTCCAACTCCCTAACAGGAGAAGGTAGCCCCTGATATTCGCAATAGATTTTGTAACAGAACTGCTTTATTTTCCCAAAAATTAACGTCATCTCATTTTTTCTCTCTAGGTTCTAGTGCAGATTTTTTCCCCCATTTTACTTCAGATTAGTAGTAGACGGGGTCGTAGCATTATCACTTAAATTAAATAAATCAAATGGTGATTAGCAGGAATTAAACTCTGGACCTCAGGGACCAAAGTCTCAGGCTCTATCCAGACCATCACGCTCCCCTCTCTCACTTAAACATAATCTCAGTTTTACAGCAAAGAAATTTAATTCCTTAATGAAGACATTGCTTTTGAGATAAACATGTAATTATATTTCCTCTTCTCAACTTCAAAACCAATTTACTACGAGGAGCACCACTATTACTTTTTATTTTTTACATCACCAATCTGGGATCCTCACTTCAAAATAGCTTCAATCCCTGATGTATGTCACAATCACAATTTTGTTATATCCAGGATTGTGAAATTAAAGTGTTGTTTCAGCATTTTTGGTTCGCTTTTCCCCCAGCCCCGGATGCTCTACTCTATGGCTAGCGATGGTTTGCTATTCAAACCTTTGAGTCGAGTCAATCCCAACAGACAAACTCCAGTTATTGCTTCTCTAGTCGGTGGAGGAATTACAGGTCCTCAAGCTAACCTCTTACTTTGGTGGTGGTTATCAAATAGTTGAGAACATGACAGTAACGAAAAGTAACGTAATTGATTTGTAATTTTTGAACTGATTCATAATTTGCACTGTAGAGTTTACTAATTGTTTGAATACAGTTTTCTTTGTGCAACACTTAACAAAAAATTACCCTCATGGGTGAGGTTACATAAAAACATTACATAAAAAACTTTAAAAAATGTCAAAAAGTCACAAAGATTATTGTTTAGTCCTCAGAACCAACAGAATTCTCTTTTAAGTCCCACTAAGTTTAATGTGACTTTGGAAAACACTCTTCTTAATCTGAGTCCGCCCCTGAATTAAACGGCCCTTTATTTTCTTCAAACATGGTATCAATGTTTTCAAATTACCTTTGCTTCTACAGTTCCACATTCACAAAAATTAATTACTACGATGTAATTACCTTACATATGTAGCTATGTTAGGGTACAAACACAAAGGACAAGGCTCGGCGTGTCGCAGCGTGTTGCGTCAAAACAAAATACAAACTTCGTAAACCGAAGGAGCTTACAGCGAGAGCGGCACGGCGTGGCGCGTCTTCATTTGAAAAAGTTGAGTTGGATTTTTTGGAGCGGCAAAAAGTGTTTTTGTGTAGTCCTAGTGATGAACGGGAAGATAGAAGATACTTTAATCGTTAATATTGTATTCTAAAAAAGTCTTTTGTAGGCCTGCACTGATGGCTATGACTTATGATGGCTTCAAAACGTAAGATTTTGATAGGTTCTAGATTAGTAAGATCCATGTGAATAAGGTTACCAAAAAAGAAACTTTATTAATGTAATGAATTTTAACAGGTTTACAAACGTTTTTATTTATACTTCACTTGTAGAAACATGTCATTGCCGTTTTAGATTGGATACCCGAAACTCTACAGTATTTGGTAAACTATACATGGTAGCAAGGAAACTGTCATTTTCTCAGATTTTAGACTAGTTACATAAGCTTGGCTTTGAAAATAGCTGCATGCCCCTTCTAGTCCGGTGGCTTAGGGCTTTAATTTACGAGTACCGTTACCTGCTGGATAAAAGCACCAAATTTGGCATGAAGGTACCTTAGGGTATACTAATAAATTTTAGCCTAGGAGCCCTTTTGAAATTTTAAATATTTCGACACACGGCACCAAAATTCAAAATGGCCGACAAATACGACAAAAACTACCTTTAAAACAATCCATTCTCCTGTTAACTCTAAAATATAACTTAAATCCAACCAAGACTCTACAATACAAACCGGAGACATACTAAATTATATGAAAGAAATCTTATGTGTGTCCGTGTGTGAGTGGGTGGGGGTATGTGTGTGAGTATTTATGTAACGAAACCTGTACTGGACGTTGCGCAAAAATGGGCAAACCAATTTACTGCAAATTTGGTGTGGACTTTGTTAATATCATATGTCAACCATGTCAATCATATGTCAACATTTAGATCTGTTTCCTTTTATTTATCTATTTATATAATTTTATTTTATTTATTTTTACAATTTTCATCATTTTTTTTTTAGATCTACAGGGTTAGGCAAAAGTATGGAACCCCCCAGTTAACCTTTTACCGCGTTGCAGTAGGAAAACCAAACTCGGCACATGTTTACAAAATAAAAAAATTCACTTTTTCATTACAGTTAGAACTTGTACCCGGCTCCCAAAATGGGGTATTTGGGTGCGGTCCCAAATTTTCAAACGTAAACACCTATCATGTGACCCCTCATTTTAAAGGGTTTCTCAAGACAAATTAAATGGCGCAAACTAGAAGTCAATATCGCCCCCCTAATACTACTTACTTACTTTCCGTGCCCGGAAATCAGACTTCGCATTTCCAAAAATTAGCTACCGATATGGCTTTGTCATTCGCATGTAAAAGATCATCAAATGTGCAAGACTGGTCTAGGCGTGGGCAGATCAGCAGATGGCCAGGATCCTGGACAGCACCACACGCGCACAAGATGTTTTCTTTGTCTGGTAAGAGACCCCATTACTGCATGTTTGTCCTGCATTTTGGTACCTCGACCCTAATTCGATTTAGGGTCTTCCACACCGTGTAAAGAAGGCCTCCACCAGGAGCCAGTTCCTCCCTGGCTGGCAAGGAAGGGTTAGTCAACGTGGCCTCCCACCTTGCCACCCGATTGATTGAGAGTGATCCATCCAGGACTCGTGTCCGTGATAAAAAGCTCTTTCTGGACCGAAGCTGTCACTCTGCAGCAGGTTGGTGGCCGTGTAATGGGTGACGAGGGTCTGTCTTTTGCTTACTCCTTTCTGCGTCGGCAGCGACATCACGTCGGATTGATGGAGGGGCGATCCCTATGATAGGATAGTTTGTGTACTGGGGTTGGTTTCAAAGACCCAGTTACAATCCGAGCCATGTCATTGACTGCTATGTCAACCTTTTTTGCATGTGACGATGCATTCCATAGTGGTGCAGCGTACTCCGCAGCCGACACACTGAGCGCTAAAGCTGAGGTTCTGAGGACATTAGGGTTAGCACCCCAGCATCTGCTGGTGAGCTTATTGATGATATTATTCCTCGCTGAGACTTTACCTCTTGTCGCAATACAATGCGCCTTAAATGTCAGTGTGCGGTCCAGTATGACACCAAGATATTCCCCCCTAATCAAAATCGCAGTCATTTTGAAATATGCCTTATTAACTTTGTAACAGATTACAGCTGGAACACTAAACTCTACATACCTTTATTAAAAAAGATAATTCACCTTTTTGCCAGTATTAAAATATTAAATGTTTAAAGTTAACTGGGATTATCAAGACTTTATCTTTTGCTTGCTCATCTTAAATAATTAAAATGGCTGCCATTTCGATTTGGAGTGGGATATTGACCTCTGGTTTACACCATTCAACTTCTCTTGATAAACCCTTTAAAATGAGTGGTCACATGATAGGTGTTTAATTTTGAAAATTTGGGGCTGACCCCAAAATAACCCATTCTGGGGGCTGGGGGCTGGGGCAAAGTTGTAACTTTGATGAAAAAGTGCAATTTTTTATTTTGTAAATATATGCTGAGTTTGGTTTTCCTACTGAAACGCGTTAAAAAGTTAACTGGGGGGTTTCCATACTTTTGCCTAACTCTGTAGATCTAAAAAAAAATAGATGAAAATTGTAAAAATAAACTAAATAAAATTATAAAAATAGATAAATAAAAGGAAACAGATCTAAATGTTGACATATGATACTAACAAAGTCCACACCAAATTTGCAGTAAATTGGTTTGACCATTTTTGCGCAATGTCCAGTACAGGTTTCGTTACATAAATACTCACACACATACCCCCACCCACTCACACACAGACACACATAAGTATTCTTTCATATAATTTAGTATGTCTCCGGTTAGTATTGTAGAGTCTTGGTTGGATTTAAGTTATATTTTAGAGTTAACAGGAGAATGGATTGTTTTAAAGGTAGTTTTTGTTGTATTTGTCGGCCATTTTGGATTTTGGTGCCGTGTGTGGAAATATTTAAAATTTCAAAAGGGCTCCTAGGCTAAAATTTATTAGTATACCCTAAGGTACCTTCATACCAAATTTGATGCTTTTATCCGCCATGTAACGGTAATTACACTAAGCCACCGGACTATTCAGCTTGATTCTTTCGCTTTGTCTTGCCGCTATTTCAATCTGTATTTTTGTAGACAGTTGAAATTTCATAATCTTAAGCAACTAATATACTATTTTGATTTAGTTTGACAATTCAAAGGTACTGTATATCTAAAAATCAAATTTAAAAAAAGGACAAAACAGAAAATAATTCATCTCAGGAGATTTAGCCAATAGAACTAAGACATATTTTGAAATTGATTTACGCTGGTTCTGTTCTCAGCAAAAATAATCTTGTGAAATTTTAATAATGTTCTAAGATACAAATTTTAGACATGTATTCTGTATCTAGTTAACATAATCAATGAGGCCCATACTACTATAAAATAAAGTGCTTGTATGTTAGTGTATTAGTGAATCATTCCAACATCTGAATTTTCTTCTTACTTACATTTTTTTTTTACAAAAACAGGTGTGATGGCAGCGATATTTAATGTTGATCAGCTGATTGACATGATGTCTATCGGAACTCTTCTAGCCTACACCATCGTAGCAATATGTGTGCTGATACTCAGGTAGGGATAAGTACATTACCTGTGTCAATGTGAACACAACTTTGTCAAAGAAATCTCTTGATTGAAACATTTATGTCATTATTTTCACTTTTGTACGAGGATGGCCAACAGATGGCCAGCTGTAGCTAATTTTTTTATTTTGAAAGAACTTGGTGGAATGAGCTGCTCAAAATGTGTGCTACTGTAAAAATTTCAGTTCAGTAATATTTACCCTCGGTTTTTGATACTTTCATGTGACATAAGATATGCCATCGTTTATAGTAAGTTGATCCTTTCAGATTGTTTTGGTTAAAAACCCAGTTTATTTATATGCTAGAAATCAGTGGTTGAGATAAGCATGCTTGGTTAGTGGCTTTATTTAACTTAGTTTTAACTAGTTAATTTTCAATCTAAAACTATAGCTATAACTTTAACATGTGAAGCTGCAAAAAATGTTAAAATGCCCATTTATTTGAATGCACAGGCTACTAAATTATTATTTTTTCAATGTTTGCTATTTTTTCAGGTATCGAGACCCGAATCCCGTGATGTACGAGCAGCCAAACATTGATCATCCGAGTGCAATGTCTTCCATCAAAGACGTGTTCAACCTTACCATGATCAAATACCCGAGCAGAACAACAGAGAACATATCTTCCTGGGCCCTAACTGTCTATAGTAAGTTGTTTGCTCTGATCGATTCACTATTTTAACCTAAAAATAAGTTAAACATGTGTAAAAGTAGTGCTCAGGGCCGTATTTCCCTAACGGCGGATACGGCGGTTTCTGGGGGCCCCAATTTTATTTCTTGATAAATTTATTTCACCGATGATAATCTGTTTTGTTGTGGTCGCGGGAGACATTGATGAAATCTGTGCGACTGCAAAAGATCTTCCCTATTTCACCGTTAATGTAGGAGTTGTCACTATTCAACCGCGATCGTGGAGGATGTAAAGGAATTTATTGCATCCGCGGGAGTCGAAGATTATGACCCTGCAAACTAGGAAGATCTTAACGATTTCGTCATAATGGAAGGGGACGAAGATTATATCTCTGCGATCGTTCAATATGTTTACCATTTATTTGTGGTTTACCACCCAGCTGTGTTCCCATCTTCAGTGATTGAATGTATTTGTACAGTTATGGCTACTGCTGCTCTCTGTGTGACTCTGGTCAATGGTGAGGATGCCCTGGTGGAAGGTTCAGCAGCTGTTGTCACTGTGGTGTGTGTCCTAGCAGCTGTGATGGTCATCACAATCTTCATCATCCATCGTCAGCCCCAGTCTCAATCTCCTCTAGCATTTAAGGTAAGTTTTCATTCAGTCTTGCTGAATTCAAAAATTCTATTCAAGAAATTACCAACCTGAACTGTTTGAAAACTAAGGTCTCCAAAAAATTCCTGTTGCAGCCAAGCAAGCTGATACAAATTGGAGACAAGTAACAACTAGATCTAGTTCCGACTAGTTTCCATTATATTCATCGGCTTAGTCTTGTTATAATAGCAAAATATGATCTGAAGAAAAATTGACGCTCCTGCCAAGTATAAATCATGTTCTGTGATTTGATTTTCATAGTCTAAGTCATAGATTTGAGCTTACAGGCAATACTCAAGGAAGCGAAGCGTGGCAAGGACGTTTTTCCTCCTGCTTCTAGAGATTGGTCCTAGCATATTTGACAACTCTTGCTTAAGCGTAGTATGGCTTAGACATTTTGGAATTGGGACGAGATCATGCTTTATCAAAATCAGAATCTTAACACGCTCGCTGGTCGCTGCTACAGACGTTCCGAAACGTCAGCCGGGCCAAGGCGCCAGGAGCTAGGAACGTTCGGGAACGTCACAGTTCATTGTTGTTTAACGTTTCCATGGATCAGCCAGCTCGTCACAAGCGTCCTATATTTCTTTGCAGCTCGTGGGGACGTACTTTTCTGACAATTAAAAAAATAGTTTCCCAATATTACCACCAGGTACGTTTAGAACAGGGCTTTGTCCCACCTCTTTCCTGCTAGATATCGACACTACTTTACTGACTGCAACCTGGGTAGTGCTGATATCTATCAGAATCGCTTAGTACTATGTCCAAAGCCAGTTTTATTGCAGAACATTGCCATCCAGTAAAACTACTGTTGTTTTTACTGTAATTCAATGTATCGGCGGCAATGTTACGCAGCGGCAACGCATTAGTTCAGCTCCTGGCGTCGTCCCGGCATCTAGCGATCAGCAGCGAACGTGTTAACTTTGTATATGTATAAAACTAAAGTTAATACTTTCAGGTTCCATTACTGCCTCTGCTGCCCTGTGTCAGTGTACTGATCAACTTCTACCTCATGTGTAAGCTGGACGTCCACACTTGGATCAGATTTGGAGTGTGGCTCTTTATCGGTAAGTTTACTGCAATGTAACACGACTTATTTCATTGAGGGTTTCACTATAATGACATGAACTTTTGTAATAATATCCTCAAAACCTGCAAGGGTTTTGTCTGTACTTGTAATATAATTACAGAGGAAGCTATTCTGGTGACAGAGCGCGGGACTTTGGTCCCTGAGGTCCCAGGTTCATGGAATGTCTATAGCAAATGTTTTATCATTTATGTCTGTTTGCGTCTGATCCCTTCCATGACACAAAGTTTTGGTGCAAGACAAAAGATTTGGATCAGCACGATTTTTGATTTTTCCTTCTACACTTGTAGTCTATATGGAGAAATCGTTTGGAAGTATCCGTGGATCTCTCTGAAACCCAAAAATTGGTTTCATTGTGATGTCTGTGTGTGTGTGTATTATACCTCCATGCTCCATGGTATCTCTAGATATATTAAAAAAATATTTTATAACTTTTTAATATTGAAGTAAACCCTATTAAATTACAGAAAATTCAGATTTCCACAAAACGGCTCGTATAATTTTGATTACAATTTATTATATGGTACTTTTAACTAAAAAAAAAAACATGTTACAACCTCCAACACCGTAAAAATTTAGATAATGGGAGAAAGTATGTGTCAGTTATTTTATCAACACATTTACACTTTCTTTCATCCTAACCTTTTCTGTTTAGGTATGTTGATCTACATATTCTACAGTATACCCAACAGTGTAGAAGGTATGAAGGCAAGAGTAGCTAAAAGCGCAAACATACAAACTCAGGTGAAACTTCCACCAACGACACCTACGACTGCCGAGTCCACGAGAATCTAACACTCGGCTCGCTTGTACATAGTGTAACATCCGTCTTGTATATACGTGTATCTACTTGTAAATAGTTGTTAAACTAGCAGTAAGTTTGTTTCTTGTTTTTATACTCCTTTATTGTTATTGTAAAATTTATCTGTGAATTATAAAGTATATTGTTGTTACGGAATATTTTAGTTTACCAAAATGAAAAAATGAAGGTTGTCCAGCAATATATTACTGTTGAAGGGAAGCGCTAAACATTTGTTTTGAGTTGAGTAGGATAGGTTATTTTGATGCACTTTATGATTAAAGTAAAAAATATACAATGTTTTAACTAAACAGAAATGTATATAATTTTTGGTTGAAAATTAAAAAATAACCCCCTTTTTGGTAGAACTATTGAAGTTAGTTTCTTTGATTGTTAAAAAGGAAGTGAAATTGGAATTTTTTATAAGTAATTTTGTATCTCTAGTTAAAAACATGTAGATATTTAGATTAGGTATCAAAGAAAACTTAACCGTTTTTCACATTGTTCACTTAGTTTTTGCGATAAATGTTGAATATTACTTATTATTTTATAGTTTGTAAACTTAATATGTGAGATTGAATTGTGATTTTTAGCACATAGAATGTTTCTATAGGTTGTATTGTTAACTTTAAATGCAATATTTAATCCTGTCTGTGTTATTAAGTTAAACTTGCAACTATTATTTATTTATTTTGTAATTTTGTGTAGAAGTATTGCTTGAAAACTATTCGGTAAATAATAAACAAATTTTTAGATCACATGGAAATTAAATCTTGTGATTTTAGGCATTATTTTTTGAAAATTTCAAATGCTACACAATAATTATTTTAATTTAAGGTGAAAATACTGTATTTCAAATTAGGAAGTTTGAATTTAATAAAGATATTTCAATACCAATCCATGTAGGAAATATCTAGTTATAATTTGTCATAAACTGTAAATTTTACTCGGAAGTATTACGTTAGTTTTTTAATATGCATTTTAAAAATAGTATTTAATAATTTTATTGTAATGATAACTAAAAAGTTAATAAAATTAAAATTCTCCAAATTCTGATGTATTTTGTTGTTGACATGTGTTCCAAACAAAGTTCTTAATTTTTTATCAATTAGTCAATAAAATGTTAGAGGTGATAAATCTTGGCCAAGTAAGATATTCAAAGAATTACACATCTTGTCTATATCTATATCTTATGTTTGTCCAAATTTTTCATTGCAAAATTTTCTTGAGGTGTTAAACAATATATGCTCACACAATTTCATGGACATAGCAAAAAGCATGATTGGTAAGGAAATGTTCAAAACCATTTGGAATAAAGAAGAAAAATAAACTCAAAATATATTCAAAACATTTTATTATCATACAATTAAACTTACTTATTGTAATAATCAAAACACAGTAAGTAATATATACAAAATCTACAATACTTACAAGTTATTCCATTAAACTAAAGCTAAACTTGATCACATGATTCTAAATCACAACAAAATCACAAACCAAGAAAACAAAAATGACCTTAAGAAACAAAAAGATTCAATGGCATGACGTGTTAAAAATTAGGAATACACCTTTAGGAATAACATATGATATTACGCTAAACAACAATAAATTAATATTTCGTAACATAAATGATATGTTAAAAGTCAATAGCTTATGTTGTTATTTTGTAAATTATACAAATGTTTACTTAAGCTCAGTGTACACTTCTTTGGAAAAAAGTATTCTTTTTCAATAAAAAAATCCATAAATACAAATAGTAATGTGAAAATTAAATCTACAAAATTTCTAAATTTATTTTCTAATTTTATTATTTTACAATCAAAAGCATTCCAACATTTAACAGTCTTATAAGAACAAGTAAATAATCTCCAAACCAAACATTTTACAGCATCTTAATTGTTTTAAGGATAATATAAATTAAATAAGTAATTTGTATGGTCACATACATACTGTTTCCAAAACATAACCAAGTATTTAAACTAATATAACTTAACCAGTTGATGAGCAGTTATAAAATGGACGATTAAATAGCGGGATGTAATATGGGAGGGTCGTCAGTTTTTGTATTCAAGTCGGAGGGAGAATTCACCACATGGAGGCTTCACGGACGGGAGGTTTATGCTCTATCTGGGTCCTCCTGTAAAGAAAAGAAGAAAAAAACTTATCAGCATATTAAAAAATACAAGTGGGTTAGTTTGAAGAAACTAGAATAATAAATAAATTACGAGCGCTCGCTTAGCAATGAAAATATCGCTGGTCCGATCGTGTGAATCAATTCAATCCAAATTTCCCAACGCCAACAGTGATTTTCTGTAATATGAATCGTGGATCAATAGTATTTTGATACTTTGAAACTGAACCCAGCTGTTCTCAATTGTTGGGCATTTTACAAGGTTCTCACTAAAATCAGCTGATATTAGTCAGTAATAAAATCTGCAGAAGGCAATTTTCATATTTGGGTTTTAAAATATGCCCTGTTACTACAGCTTTGATAATCTAATCTAATACATTATTGGAACCTCAACAAGAAGATCCTCAATAACAAGAGTCGTTTTCAAATACCCTTGATTTCATAAGAAACTTAATTACATGTTATTGCAAACCTCAATAAGAAATAAACCTTGATAACAAGACTTTATTTGATCATCCCCAAGAGAGACTTATTATCGAGGTTCTACTGGAGCCAAATTTACCCACCTTGGAGGAGGATCGCCAGTCGTGTTCTCGCGTTGGTCTAAGAAGCTGACGGCCAGACTGACTCCACTAGCCGCAGAGTCCTGACTGAGTGTTCGCTTGAAGGCAGCCTGCAGCGCCGGACGGTGGAGGGGGTAGCGCCAGGGGGACTTGGGTGGGTCCATCTCAAACCCTCGGTTCTCCAGACCTCGTACACTCCTCTCTCCATCCTCCTTCTTGGACGACAGACGCCTGAAACATTGGAGATTGTAGTCACAGTGAATGTGACTTTGTACTGACTTAAGATCAGACAAAAAAATAACACTTTTTTAAAACCCATTGTAATTTCGTGATGGATTTTAATTTACTTTTATGATTAACTTTCATCCATGATTTTGGCTTTATTAAATGAAGTTACCTTGATTTCATTTGCTACCGTACCTGCAGAGCCGCATAAGAAATAGTCTACACCCCAACCACAAACAAAGGAAAGGACATGTAATACCTTTCCGCACTAAGCTGACAATTGGTCAAAAATATCTTTAGATATTCTAAAAACACAGCCAATACATTACTGGAAACATTAGTTTTACCTGAGAATGCGACGGCCCAGGCCGGGAGGCTCTTCCAATCCCTTCTTCCAGTGTTTGTGCTTGGTATGGCTCTCTTCTATGATGACGTGTCTGTCGTACGGAGTGTCGTAGTCTACTTCCAACACCGTAGAGAAGCTATGGGGATACATGAGGTCCATACCTGCTATCACCAGTCCCACGAACAGACACAACCCTCCTGCAAAACAGTGAGAGATTGGTAGCTTGTGATAGGTTAAAAAACGTTTCTTTATTAATTAAATTCATTAATTGTAACCAATTAAAAGTAACCGGTTTGTACATTGATTGTAATTTTATTTGATCGATTTTGCATTTAAAAATTGTTGTTGATTACAACCGTTACACACACCAGGGGTGAAATTTTGTAATTTCCAGTGTAGCAACGTTTTTGGAGTTGACTTTTGGGCACCATTGGGGGTATTGAGCTGAGTGTTTATAGAGCTCCTTAACAATCAGAAGGTTGAAACATTCAATGGTACACTCAATGGTGGTGGTTTTTAAGTGGTGTCTAGAATTCGAGTCGCTTATATCTAGGGTATTGTCTAACACCGCTCTCGCCATCATGTACTACAACGCTCACGAAGGAGGAAGACCCTGTGTCGTGCGATAGGAACTTCAGTGCTCCCAGAGCTCTTCCTTGCTCACAAGTATATTTCCGGCACAACATCCCAGAGCTGAAAGCACTCGGTCGTCTCATAACCAATTTCACTCTGTACCTTTCTCTGAGGTAATTCCAAACTAGATACAGCTGTCCTTGATCAAGGGCTTTTAATAAAATGGTCGTGGCTAAATAAACAGCTGATCTTAGTAACAGGTTACACATGGTAACACTTTTGCGTAATTCAAATTTAGTGTAAAATATGTGCACAAGTGTGTGTTACATCCTTGATTGATCCATAGATTTATTTATTGATCATACAAATACCAGTGCCTACCTTTATTGTGAATACTGAATTCACTACTACACTAGTGCACAATGAAATGCACTTGAATCACTAACACCCTACAGATAGCGCCCCAAAGATGATTTTCTCTCAGAAAAATTAATTGACTCTTAACAAAGCCCTTTCTACGCCTTAACTGTCACCATGACTCGAGGCCAGCGACATTTCCTCTCGTGTTGTCACAGTCATTCATTTTCAATATCTGACTGACAAATGGTGGTTTTGATTGTCCACAATGAATGACCGAGTCAACAATGCCTCTGATTGGAGCATTGTTGGGTGATCAGTTCACACCGCCTTCTGTAGTATGAGTGGACCAAATAACAGCACTATTTAGGTGGCAGTGAGCTACTGTGTCATAAATTATACCAGTGTGGGTTGTAGCAAATGATTGTGTGGAACCGAACATCGGTAACACACTTAGTCATAATTTTTAAGCTATTTTTTTATCCTATAATGTTGAAATTACTACTCTAGAATAAATTGATTCGGTCTTGAATAAATGTTTATCGATTAGTTTCTGCTGCTGAACCAAATCTTCATCACCATCGAATCAGGACATTGGAGACCCCTGAAAAGAATGTAAAAAATACTATTTAATGTGAAGATTTAAAACGTTTACTTTTTCTGACACTTTATACAGAATACTTTATGCATTTTTTGTGCTAAGCTCATCTACTCTCATCCACGGAATTGTGTTGTACACTACTTCTGGCTAAGCGTTGTGGGTTGCAGTAATACCACTTACGAGTAAATAAAAACCCCATCCGTGATTGGCGGGATTTGAACCCGGGATGTTGGGAACTTAAGACCGGTGCTGTACTACTGGACCAGCTAACCCCTTAATTTTATATAATTAACATCAGTCTATATATAAGTTAAAAATTACATTAACTTTTTCTTGAAAGATTACTTAACAAAATTTATTAAGAAGTTAATTAGACAAAATAATTTAGAATCCTTACCTACTGTTTATGCATCAAAAAGTAAGCCAACATTCAATAAGTTTGGAAATAAGGTGAGAACTTAACAGTTAAGCTAAAATCAATACAAGTCTGAAATTTTTTTAAAGTTTTGTACTGTTGAAGTTTTTTAAAACTTCCCAGCTGGCAACCAATTTATTGTACTTATCACCTTAAAAAATTAAGAAGTTTTTATAAACATACCCAAACGTAACTAACCGTTCCAAATTAATCTTAAAATTAATACAGAGACCACATAGTTACTATTCTAAAGATTTAAAACAATTAACTAACTTTAAGACCTTGTAACAGATGTTAAAATCTTTCAAGGAGAGCAAAGGCCAACCAAGACGAATCCAAAGGACATTTTTATTACTTGTAAGAAGATTACTTCTAACCACACCTATACATAAATAACTCCTACATCGGTTCAACCTCTACACCTTCGTATATTGCTAAGACAAATGTAACATTTGCTATGTCTGAAAGATGTAGTATATGGTTTCAGACAATAATTTTTACATTTAGCCTTCTTTGAATAGTGGGGTTTTAAGTCGGAGTTGAACCGTGGATTCCACATTGTAAATTTTACTAACTCTAAAACCTCCAAAAAATTTCACAGCCCTTTTTTCTAGGTATTAGCAATTATAATCTGTATTAATGAATTTCCTTATAGGGAAGTAGCTATTACCGTAGGTCTCATGGTAAGACCTATGCCCGGGACCGATTCATTTTTCATTTTGCTGTCCCCAGAGGCCAAAAACACTATTCGTTCAAATTTTTACTTTTTCCCCCTACCTATGAAGAAAGTATTGCTTTCGTCAAAATTTTCGAGTTTGAGTTTTGAGTGGATATATTTGTTTTGGGTCCCCCTAGACCTAAAAAAGTGGTTTTCAAAATGATGCCTGTGTGTCTGGATGTGTACAGTTACAAACTACACCTATGTATGGTCCGATTTTGATAAAATTTGGTATGTAGGTACTAATCCATGCACTCCAGGCACTTTTTTAATTTTATGAAATTTTGATTTTTATGTTGATTTTCGCATAAAACCCCATCCAATAACGGACATATTTGATTTTCTCAAAAATGGCCCGAACGATATTGATAAAAATTTAGTATGTTGTAGCCCTTTAAATTCTGAACACCAGCGTAAGAACTAGGAAAAAATTACAGGCTATGCTTGCGGTGTACATTCTGCATCATGTAGCTCCTAAACGAGTACTAGTGCAGTAGAAACAGGGTTTGAGGTGGAACTAATTGCAACAGAAATTATTCCAGTTAGAAATGGTAGGTAATACACTTATAAAAAACATACTAAAAATATACATTTGTACTGTTACGCAAAATACAGGTTTTTGGTCGCCATTTAAAAAAAGTGTAAAATTTTAAATTATTGTTAAAAAATCTGGTTTGGTATCAAATTATAGAACATTTCATGCTGGAAAAGAATATAATGGTTGAATTTAAAATATACTGTTAACAGTGATGCACTATAGGCGAAAAAAGGTGCGTTTAAAAACGTGGCATTTGAAAAGTTGTTTATTTATAAGTTATTTTATACTTTTAAAATTTGTATTTTTTCGTTTTTGACCCCTAAATCGTAAAATTTCCCAATTTCTCTCTAGACCTTTTTAAAGAGCTTAAAAAACAAATAGTTAAGTATATCAAAGGGGTTTTGTACGATTATTGGTAACGGGGAAAATTCAAAAAATTGGAAATTTAAAATCCCCATGTTATTTTATGGAGAATATGGTAAAAAGTTGTAGTTTCCTTGTTTATGGATATATTTTGATAAAACTTTGAAGATTTTTTTATTTTATACTTAACAATTAATATTTTACTAAAAACACACTTAATTGGTTTCCTTGTTGCAGCAAACCTTGGTACTCGTTTTGTTACACCTAATGTTATTTATTTAATATACTAGCAACAGTGCCCATTGTGGTTAAATTAATGCAACGGTCTCTAGTAAAATAATGGTTATGAAATCCATACACCACTTTACTCACTAATATTTGGTACCAGTATGCATAATCTAACCAGCTCATAACATTAGAATCACACACTTAACATAAGAAACACACTATAAACACAAATGCAAATTGTTAACAACAATATTTAATCAAAGAAAATTTAATTAAATAACAATATAACAATAAGCTGTTAAATTATCAACTCATTTTTCGTATGGTTAGATTATGCATACTGGTAAATCAATTATTGCCATCTATAAAAATAATTTGTTTTCTTTTCCGAGTCGGGTTAGCTCTTCTACCAGACCGATTTTCATAATTTTGGCCTTAAGCCGGGTTTACACTATGTAGCTAAACCTGCTACATTGCAGATTTGTGTAACATCTAGCAATGTTATATAACATTTGCTAGAAGTAAAAAAAGTAACTTTACAAAAGTGCTATATAACACTGCTATATGTATCAGATTCTGCTATATATAGCAAAAATTGTGCTATCCATCGGGAGTCGGTAAATATCAAAAGAAATACGTGCTACATCTAACATTGCCATATGTAGCAATGATATACATATATTATTCGTCTAGCATCTGCTATATGTAGCGCTGAACGGTTTTGCTCAGCGATCTTTGTTTACAATGAAAGAACTGGAAACGGAAAGTGGCAGTGCCTAGGATCGGGATGATATTATCGGGGCTATTGATATTATAAACTTAATTGTACTGTTCCGTGGACAACCGGCGTTGTGATCATACGTAAAACGTTTTTGAAGTTACCGTCACCTTATTTAGTGTTTTAATTATGGATTGTCAGGGCATTCATCATCATTAAGGTCCCGTAATAAATCTGCTACACTGTACTTATTTCTCGAAGCAAGAAGCGGTCAAATCTAAAACTTGCTAAAATCTTCGCTCCTGTCTGTCTCTCTCTCTGACTTCCAAGATCACCACGATAGCTGCCACGAACAATGTCTCTTTAGCGCACATTTCTATACGGAATGCGAATAAGGTTGTGCTACATATAACATATAGCACGAGCACCAGAATCACTAAAATTGTTTGTACATTTTTAATACAGCAAAAGTTATAAAGCAATGTTATATAGCAAAGGTTATATAGCAGGTTTTGCTACATAGTGTAAATTCGGCTTTAAACTAAAGCTATAGACGCACCATAGATTTGCTATTAAGCATCAGCACTCATTTTGACGTATATTTTGAGTTATGCACAAACTGCCTCTCTGTACATTACTAACGGGAGTTAAATTTGTTTTTTTCGAGTTAGTTTGGCTCTTCTACC